AAAACCACACTTTTTAACCTCCCTTTGAACATCCTCATTGTCCTTAGTAAAGTTCAACTGACGGATATCTTTAGAAAAATCTCATCAAATATGCAGGCCACATATTCGAGAAGTCTGATTACAAGGCTGCGTTTTGCGATCAGGGAAGTCATTTTCCGCGTGACCTGAACTTTACCACTCTCGACCAATAAAATTGTACCAACACAGTATGTGTTAGGACGGCCAGCACGCGAGTCATCACTCGGGCTGTCCTCAGGGCAAGAGAACAAAGGAAGCCCACATGCCAGCGGAGGCAGGCACAGGGGAACAAGACCGAGGTGTAGACACTACCGAGCTGCACACAAGACCGAACTGCAGGCAAGACCGCGCTGCACAGGAGGACAAGCTGTCGGACACACAGAAGACAGAAACAGTTATAGTAAACTATCCTCTGCTATCCTGTCTGCATTCCTTTCCTAACATAAAACTGGGGGATATAACCAGTTTCGATGCATGCGCTCACAAGGTTATAACAGTATGCTCAGATTGTTTACACTTTGATATTTGAAAACCTGAGGTAGTATGCATTCCAAGATGATAAAGGTGGAACGAAGGCTCATCGGAAAATGGAATCTTTCCCATAATTCAATTTATTCGCGAACAAGCAACAGAAGACACCCTTCCGTTCCTCGACGTCGGGGTGCAAAGATTGAGTGATGGCAATCTGGAAACCAGTGTCCACAGGAAAGACTACAACGCCGAAATAATCCTGAATTATAGGAGCAACCATCCTGCAGCCCACAAAAGAAGCTGCGTTAAAATGCTTTTTCACCGCGCCTTTCGGTACCATAGCAGAGAGCATCTACTTAAAAGAGAACTTGCCTACTATTACAAATTATATCGATCGAACAGATACCCGACGACTTTCGTGAAAAACTGTCTCCGGTGTCAGAGACAGTCAGAAGATAGGAGCTCTAACGCAGAAGTGGTACAGCGGACATTCTATTCCTTACCCTACATGCACGGACGTTCTGAAGTGATCGCCCGACAATTAAATCGACTCGGCATCAGCATTGCTCACAAACCGGCGTCTTCCTTGAGGACAGTCCTATCTCGCGTTACGGACAACTTACCGAAAGGGCAACAAACTAGTGTGTGCTGATTGCCCTAGCGTTTACATAGGTCATACAGGTCGGAAACTGGGGACCCGAATACATGAACATCAACTGGCCATCGGTAGACGTGACCGTTTGTCTCTCGTGTTCGCGCACGCCATTGACAATGAACACCGCTTCAATTGGGACGGAACTGAAGTGGTCACAAAACAGGCACGAGAATTCCTCGAAGCTTGGCATTCCGGCACACACAGTATTAACAGGCATGCGGATCTTGATTCACAGTACGCCTGGTTCCGCGTATGGCCGACGAACTTGCGCACCACCTGAAATAACAACAGTCGATCCGTGTTCGGCCAAGTGGAACTTCGCTGATTCTGCACCTCGCCCCAACACGTGGCTCACAATCGAGACGTTCACACCCCCCTCGCACTGGCAACGCCTATCGCAGCAGTATTTGCGTCACCCTACCACCCTCCCCCTGCACCCTCACACCTGTTCTATGTGACCTCTGCCCCCAAACCCTCTAGTGCGACAATCCCAGCCCTCACTTTA